TTTATTTATTAAAATTTTTGTAATGGCTCTTTTATATTGGCAAAAATATTCACACTTGTAGTTAAAAAGACAAAAGTTAAAAGGACAGGGTTTTTTTGTATAGAAAGATAATAAAATTATGACTATTATAAGTTAAGAAATAAACTGATAAAGACTCTAAAGATGGGGATTTTTTTTAATAATATCTAGTTTGTATATAAAGTTAAGAAAAGAATTAAATTCAAATATGTCTTTTACTTTCTTGATATCAATTACATTCTTTGCTAAAATGAAAATATATTCAATGTATACAATATATATGTTTAGTTTAGCTGTTTCATTCAATATTTTATTTTCTAGATGAGCCATGTAGTAATTTAAAAAAGAACAAAGAGGGCTATCAATATTGTCTGTTATATTCAACAGACAATGCTTGAGGCATAAAACTCCCAGTCACCATGCAATGTTGATTCCTATGCCCATGCTATCCATATCAATAAACACTCACCAATACTGAGCACACTTTCCTCATAGATATACCAAATTTTAAGCAATATATTTTTCTGGGATTAGCCCACTTGTCTGACAAAGATCTTCTGCTAATGATGGATGACTACATGATATTGTCAATGTATCCCAACATAAACAAAGACAATTTTATAGGAAATGGAGTAAATCCAACTGATTTTTTAATTTTATTAGTTTAGACATTATTTTTAAATGGATTTAATCCATTTCCTATAAAATTGTCTTTGTTTACATTAAGGTCCAAACAGAGCAGATACATATATTTCGAGAACTGGGAAAGTATGTGTTTAAAAGCACTACTCAGGCTTTCTTTCATCAGGAGTTCCTATGAGTTGGTCTTGGGCATATCAAATCTAATGAAGATTTCCCCCAGGGAACACAGGTTCAAACACAGCCAGAGGATGCATATTTTTTTAACAAGATTTCTTGACTATTCAGTCTGGTAGATGTAAATAAATAAATATACAGTTTAATAAATAAATAAAAACAGTGCATCTACTCAGATATGAATATTATCCATTTAAAAATAATATTTAAACAAATAAAATTTAAAAATTTGTGAAATTTAATCCATTTGCTATAATATATATATATATATATATATATATATATATATATATATATATATATATTCTGCATTTATAGGAGATAGAGTGTTATTTATCAGATATAGACAGTATGGATATATGAATCAATACTGCATGGCATCTGTCAGTCTCACTCTTCACTGCAATCTTCAGACCAAGATCATATTGATGCATAAAAATGACAGTAACCATGCAATGTTGATTCCTATGGTCACACTGAGTCTTTCTTTGGTCTCTCTCTCTTTTTCTCTCTTCATATATATATATATATATATATAATGTATAATAACAGAGATAAAATTTATACTACTAATAAATATAGATTTTGTTCCCCACCAGTAACATAACTATACTCAATGCAAGGTGCAGACTGAAAACATTAAATAATTTGAATATTGATATTTATAATGCACTCATAATATATATATATATATATATATATATATATATATATAAAACATTAGGCAGCATATGATTTACATACAAAGAATAATCACACATAGAATTAATCAGAAGTATCAATGCGATTATTGGCGACATCCATCGCTAGAAAACATAATATATGCATTAAAATCCTGTTCATCCATAGTGCGAGTTTTGATCCTTGAAGAAAAACTTGTTGTCTGTAGTTTTCAGTTTATTTGATGTTAAAATGCTAGTACTTACGGACAGTCTTCCATCCATCATCAGGCATGTGTTTTTTTTTCCTTATAAAATCAAAAACTTGAGACGATATACCTGTATGTCGACCGAAAGATGTTTTTTGAATATCTGCTATTATTGACGGTTTGTAAGATATCGGAACGTGCAAAGACATAACGCTAAGTTTTTCAAAATTTTTTTAGTGAGAATTTTATTTAAATATTTCTTGTGATGTGTTAAATCCACGTATTCTATTTTTACAAGTGTATTCAGTTTTTATGTCATGAACTAAGTATATGGATGAACAGGATTTTAATGCATATATTATGTTTTCTAGCGATGGATGTCGCCAATAATCGCATTGATACTTCTGATTAATTCTATGTGTGATTATTCTTTGTATATATATATATATATATATATATATATACACATATGAAGAAATATAGTTTTAAGATGTGCTATATTTAGGGGATAAAGTGTTCCATATCAGAGATAGAGCATAGGTAAATATATATATATCTTACTTAAACCCAGGTTGTGTGTGTGTGTGTGTGTGTGTGTACGTTTATATATTGGATCGGATTTCCTACATTTTTCAACCGATTTCAACAAAACTTCACAGGACTACGTAAATTTACCTTGCGGTGTTTCTGACAGTGCCAAAAATTGGAAAAATACAATTGTTTTTGCATGAAATCAATTTGAAAACACGATTAAGAGGCATCACGAGAATGAAAGGGGGACAACTCATATCGAGTTATACTTATTATTAAACCCAGGTTGTTTGTGTGTGTGTGTGTGTGTGTGTGTGTTTGTTTATATATGATTTCCTACATTTTTCAACCGATTTCAACAAAACTTCACTTTTTTTTTTGGCAGGTAGTGTTTCTTATTGTCTTGCACACTTTTTTCTTTATTTTTACATTCAGAATGCTTTAAAAATTCCATTTACAAGACAATTGTTTATAATAAAATTCTATTCAATCGGTAGACTCATAATGATTGAAAACAATGTTTTTGTTTGAGTTTGGGTTTGACCAATTCGTAAAAAAAAACAAAAAAAAATAATTAAGACATGCGTGTGCATCAACCTTAAACAATAATCTTTGTCAATTTTATTTTTCAGTCTTTATGATGGTTGATACTTGATCTATCTCTTACTGTTACATCCCCGGGCAATGCCGGACTCCACAGCTAGCATATATATATATATATATATATATATATATTTCAATGTCTATAAACAAGTTCAATTAAAGCAATAGGTTTAAAAACTTAATCCAATCATAAGCTAAAAATAACCTCGTCAGCAAAAAAACAAATTGTAGTTCACTATGATGTATTCATATACAAACAAACCTTTTAGAAAAAAATCTTTATGTATACAAATACACATTTAACAGCATAACAAAAGTGCCAAAAATTTCTGTCGTTAAAATAGACCAGACGATATGCGTTGAACAGATATCATCATTCATTTGAAAAAAGGCACCACAACCCTACTTTGACTTAACCTCTTTTCTAAAGTAACTAATATGTTGATACAATAGTTGTCAGTGAAAATGAATACACTACCACCCCTTATTAAAATGATTAGTTTTCTCCATCTCCATAGAAATTAATATTACAAATGTATATGCTTATAAAACTCTGTAAATTTCAAAATTAGTTATTCCAAAATTCTCTTGAGGATGAAACAGAACTAGCTGCTTTAATTTAATTTCTCTAAATGAAATTGAAGATTTTAGGTTCTGTTTTTGAAACATTAGAACTCTTATGTAGCGATGGAATCATATTTTTTAAAAAAATAATTATAATAAAGGCTCTACTGTTGTATCGAGCACTGTTTTTTAAAAATAAAAACAAAAATACTAAAGAACTTTGGATTATTAATCTAACGGTTCTTTTAACGTATTTTCTATACACACACACACATATATACATATATATATATATATATATATATATATATATATATATATATATATATATATATCATACAATAGGAATTAAGATTACATTACATTAATGATCATTTTCACCTTGTAAATTGAAATAAAATTTACAAGGATTTTCAAACCAGTCAATGGATGATAAATTATTGAAATTAAAATGGCTAGACAGGGAAGGAAAGAAAGAAGGGGAAAAAAATGGAAAAAGAAAAAGAGAGCAAATAAAAACAAGGGAGTAGTGTAGTTTGGATATGAGGGTTGGTTGGGAGGAGAAAAAGTGAGAAAGAAATGACCTATTTATTTTATACACAGTAGTAATCAGAAGGTAGTTCACACTTAAAGAAATCCTTCTTAAATCTATTAACAAAAATAAAGCTATATTAAATAAAAAGATAAAACCTCTGTTTAATTAAACATTAGGATCTATGTGAGAATCATTTCTAATATTGAATATTTAATATTTTATATTGTATTAATAGGATTCACCTGGATTATATACAAACAAATTATTACCTGTGTATATATATATATATATATATATATATATATATATATATATATATATATATATATATATATATATATATTTTTCAAACTTTATTTTTAGTGGATACTTGTATTTGTGTAGATGCTTCTGTTTTTTTTTTAATTAAATAGTGTTTTATTTTGTCTACCAGCCTGCACACTCAAAAAAAACTTAATAAAGAAAATGTGTCCTCTTTATTATGCTTTGTCATGTGTGCAGGCCGGTAGATGAAATGAAAACTGTTTAAAAAATAACAAAAAATAACTGTCTATTCAAATATGGGTATCTGCTAAAAAATAACATTTGGACTAACAAAAATATGTTGCATTAAAAAATAAAATACATTAATTCTTTAGAAATATATATATATATATATATATATATATATATATATATATATATATATATATATATTTTAGTGAGAGTAAGAGAAAAGAGACATAATAATAATTAGAAATTGTATCTTCTGTCTTCTGTTCTATAAAAGGATAGAAAATCTTATGTTTTGTATATGTTAAAGACCTTTATTCTCTAGCAATCTTGAACTGGTCAAAGTCATATGCACTGGGAAAACTTAGCATTGAAAGCAAATTAATTTTTCAATGCTATCAACAGTTCTTCCTATACTAACAGGGAAAAACATTTAAAATAGGAATTGGGTGTGTGTGCAGCTTTTCCCTGGAGTAATAACTACAGATAAATAGGATTTGAGCATGGACAGAAGTAAGAACAGAGTAGACTTTTGAAGGAAGAAAGAAAGAAAGGAAGAAATGGAAAACCCTTTTAATTAAAAGGAAGTGAAAAGAGGAAAAGAAACATATAAACGAATAAAATAAAAAAGAGAGCAAAAAAATTCTGAGAATATAAAGTAAAAAAGAAAAAAAGAGAAACTGAAATATAGTAAATTGAAAGAGAAATAGTCAAAAAGAAAGAAAGATGCCATAAAATACACACATACATACATACATACACACCTACAAAAGAAAAAAAAAGTATAAAGAAAAAAAATGGAAGAAAAGAAATCATAAAATAAAGATGGAAGAAACACACACAAAAAGAAAAAAGAAAAAAAATGAGTGAATTAATGAAAATGAAAGCCTGTACAAGGAAAATGAAAGAATGAAAGATAAAGAAAAAATATATGTAAATAAAGAAACAAAAGGCAAAAAGATAAGTAATAAGAATAAAAAAATAACTTGAGGAAAAATAACTGGAAAAAAAAAAGAAAGAAAGTAAACACCTGTGGAGAAAGAGAAAGAGAAACAAGTAAAGTAAGAAAAAAACAAACAAGCTCGAAAGAATAAAAAATAAATAAATATTTACAAAAGAATAATCTAGAGATATTTATTGTAAATTAAAAAAAAATGAGCACAAGTGTAGAAAAAGTGAAAAAAGAATGTAAAAAATGAAGAAATAAGTTCACAAACGAGGAAATAAATAAATATACACAATGAAAGAAAATTTCTAAAAATAAAAGGTAAAAATTAGTAATGAAAAGTGTGTTTTATGGAAGAGGTTGAATCAATTTCTGCTCTCTCTAAGCCATCTGGCCTCTGAAAATTTGTGAAAATTATTTTCTTATCTTCAGCATGTGATAACTTGAGTCCATGTGACAGATAGCAAGGTCCCTGAAGTCACTTTTGGGAGCATGCTAACTCTTTCTCTTCCCACTGATACTTCAGGAGTTGTAATGTAATCCAAGCAGCTGGTGGTGCCAGCTAGAACAGGGAAGGTTTAAGGTAGACATAGATGGCACATCTCAATGCTAAAGCATTCTAGAATGTCAAAGAGAGTAGTAAAAATAAAAAATTACAAAAAGACAGATGTTTTCTTGGAATATATTCTCAGACTGAACATGCCTGGAGAATTTTTATGTCATTTTTTTTCCCTTTTGTTTCATAATCTTTGAAAAAAATTGCAGTGTATCATATTGTTAATTTAAGATTTTTGGGGAATAAAGATTTTTTATCTTCAATGTTGTATTCATTACTTATTATAATACCTTTGATCAAATATTTTTTCTCATTCATGCATGAAGCATCATGGAATAAAAGAAATGCCTTTAGAAATGATGTCTGATATTTAAATTTTAATCTTGTTTGATCCATTGCAACATTTGCTGATAGTATAACTGAAAATATGCATGCTGTCCACAATAACCTTTACAGCAACATAACTGAATAACAATATTGTATGAAATCAAATTACCAAATCTCTTCACTTATTTTACAAGAGTATTTCTACTGCTACATTTGAAGTTTTAATGATCTGATCAAAATTGAAATGAAAAAGAAATTAATAAATTTCATGCTGAGTGGTTCAAAGGCAATAAACAGAAAATAAGCAGTAATTTATTTTGTATCATTCAATCAAATGAAAACATTATTATCCAGTAATGTTCAGTAATTGCCAAGGAAACAGGTACCTATGAATAAATATATAATAGAAACTGGCTGCCAGTCCCAGACTAAAATGTTTTGGTTTATTAGATACAGATACTGTGAGGTCCTCAGTAATATTTCTTGGTCAGTAGATTACAGGTACAGAGTGGCTCCTAGAAATATTTCTTGGCCTATAGACTCCAGGTATTGAGACACCCCCAATAATATTTCTTGGTCAAAAGGCTACAAGTGCTGGGTTCCAGGTACTGACAGGTTTTCAGCAATATTTCTTGATCAATGGGCTATAGGTCCTGTAAGACACCAGTAATATTCTTGACTTATGAGCTAGACATACTGTGAGGCCCCTAGTAATATTTCTTAGCCCATGTGCTACAGGTACTATGAGGCTCCCAGTAATATTTCCAAAAATTAAAGATAATTAAGAAAAATTAAAAGCTCACACATTTGATTTGTGCAAATCTTTTGTAAACAAAATTCTCCAAAGCATAAGTAAATTGCAATTTTTTCTGGAGAATATCATTTTCAATTATCATAAGGCAATCTCTGTTGAGTCATTTAAATGTCAGTGTCAATCCATGAATATTCTCTTTCTACTAGCATTAACGTTAAACACTGTTCAATCCATACTGCTTTTTCTATGATAGGGAATGAAGAAGTTAATCCATTGTTTATTACAAAGGTGATACTTTTTGGCATAGTAAGCTTACTATAATAAATATGGTAATGATAAAATTAGTTGTTTCCTCATAAGGAAACATTCAGCATTCATTGCCAGTGCTATTTTCAGTTGAAATTTATAAAATCTTTCTATTAAAATAGTTTTTCAGGAAAATAGTTTTCTCAAGTCCAGTAGCTGTTATTGCTCTTTCCAGTATTGATGGGGGGGGGGATCCCTATCTAACCTTTTGTTTGAAGAAATGTGAAACATAAAAATCTTGATTATATTATTTTCTCTTCAATTTACATGTGCTATCCATTTTAGTTGTTCCTGCTGTTGAAAGTCCTCCAGTGATGTGGTTTCTGTTATTTGGTACTGTTCTTTATTTGTGATTATGTAACACCACTCAAAAAAAAAAGAAACAGTATATTAATAAAATACTTTCTTTTAATAGATAATTTAGAGGAGTTATATTTTGATTTAGCATTCACAAATGTAATAATTTTTCATTTAATTTTTGGAAGCTCTCCTGGCAGTAAATGCCCTTCAACTTCATCTCTTAAGACCCATTCATGCTGACTACTGACAGTTCTTGCTTGTATTCTGCTAGAAGTGTTTTTATTGGTTCAAACTAATGTACCATTAGAATTGGATCCAAAATTCAACAGAAGGTCATATGCTACAGAGTACAATGATCAGGAGAAGACAATCTCAAGAACAGATGCAAGCATTGGACATGTTGTGTTTGAGAGTGGATGCACATGCTCTCTCAGAAAAGGTTCAATAACATTTCAGAAGAGATGAAACACTGATGGAATTCTGGAAAGAATCTATGTATATCAAACAATTTCTATTCAGCCAAATGCTTATGATAACTTTCTTTGAAATGAAGGTACATTTTCCATTGATGTTTTAGTTTCTCTTCTGCATTCATCCATATACAAAACTTGGATAACTAACAATTTTCTTTTAATATTTTTTTTCTGTTTCTTATTTAGTTGACATGTGAAAACGCAATAAAGTTTTTTTTTAAATTACAACTCTATGGTACCTAGACTTTATAAATTTAAGCACAGTACTAGGTTGGCAGTTAGGTCTCATCATTTTAAAGTTATAGGCTAACATTTTCTTCTCCCATATTTCTTGCTTGTGGAACTCTCTTCCTGCTTCTTGCTTTCCAGTCAACCTTGATCTTCAAAAATTTAAATACAACAGCTAATCAACCAGATGATGTATTCTGGTACAATTGCATGTTTTTTAGTCTACCAGCTGGTGTGTTTACTTACATTTATATCTTGCTTAGCCTATAAACATTTCAGCTGACCCTCATATATACAAGTCCATAAACATGTATCATCACGGCTCTCCAAAACTTCCTATCCTTTGTTACTCAGAAGTTTTTCTCCCTTTTTTTATGTTCCCAACACCTGTTCCACCATCCATTCGCACAAGCTTATCATGTAGGTGGCTCTCTCTGTGAGGGTTAAGTTTTCCAAGCCCTTCTTCCTCATTATGTGCTCATGGAATTTAAGTGATCTCTTCCTGATTCAGAGTATTTTGTTGCCATTTTTTTAAAACTTCCTTATTGCTTACCTGCACCATCCATGAAATTCTCAGTATCTTCCATAGAACCACATTTCTGTTGTCTCCATTTTTTTTTCATTTGAGGGATGATTGTCTAGCATTCACTACCATATAAGAGGACAGATATTACATAGCAATCCGACACTCTTTTCTTTGTTTCTAACAAAATCTTTTTGTTTCTCAGCACTTTGCTTAGCTTTTAGAATACCTTTTCACTATTCCAATGCATGTTCAGATTTCAGTGCTGCATTTTCCATTCTCTGTTAAAACATCTCCTAGAATTTAAACTGACACTAGGAGAATATGTGTTCAATAAATGACAAGTTTAATGTCTCATCTCAATAATAAGCAGGTACATGATTTTTCTTAAAAGTGTTTGTATCCATATTAACAAAAGAAGTTTTTATGTAAGAAAAGATAGCAGTTGTTGAACAAGACAGTGCTGAAAATTTCTCAGCCGGGCCAAGAAACCTTCTAAAAAAATCTTTGGTTATTTGGTCAAATTTTGGAAAGTGCATCAAGTCAAGGACTTTTCAGCATCCTCTCATAAATCAAGCCATAATATGTAACAGAGCAGATGACATGATGTAAAACTGGAGTTTCTTATTATTTTTCAGCATTCATCCTGACCCTTCAAATGTTATCAGCTGTGGTTCAGCTAATAAGAGAAGTAAAATTTTTTTTCTTTGGTAACAAGTTTCAAACAAAATCTATTACAGACACAAATTGGAAGTTCTAGAAATGTGCCAAAAGACTAAAAATTGAAAAATGGATCCTTACTTCCAACATTCCAAATAGATAAAAATAAGAACCAGTCTTCTCCCTAGAAAAACAAAAAATGAAATATGTTATCTTCATTATTATATAAGCCTAGAATGGAAGGGACAATCAAGTCCTAGCCTTTTTATTGTTTTATAAGCACAGAATGGAAGTGATTTGAAGTCTGATTTACATTTAGAAACAAAATTATTGTCAATATTATCCATCCATAGCTTTTTTATTATTGTATGAGCTTAGAATTGAAGTGATTTGAAATGATTCATTATTTCTATGAAGTCATAACTTTTAAGTTTTATATTGTAATTCAGTTATAGCCTCAACATTGTTACATAAACCTAGAATGGAAGTAATTATTAAGTTTCACTTACATTAAGGAACATAAACATTTTTAATATTTCAAGTCATAACATTCAAATTCAATGAAACATCAACAAATCTACTTTGGTATTCTGATAAAATTCTTGCTAGATATTTTGTTATTTTCATAGTTATAACTTACCATCTTTCTTGGAAATGTCTTTATAAAATTATGAAACTATTATTGCTTCTTATTAAATGTATTTAGTATTATATTTTATATTTGTTAATTACATATTTTATTCCAATATGGTTTGCAGCCTAAAAACTAATTAAGTATCATTATAATTTTCTATTTCATAATAATTGACTGAGAAAAAAGAGTGCAGACCTTTTTATTATAATTATATGGTTAAGATAACCAAAGTTAAGCAATATTAATTTTAGCTAGTTTAAGTTTGCAAACTAAGAAAAGCTGAATCCAATAATTTTTCTGTATGACATAAATTTTGTAATAAGCTTACTCAACCTTGTAAGGTGACTGCAATGTTAACCTCTCTGCTAGTGTACCAATACTTTAACACTTGAATCACATCTATGTTTTTTCTTTGTATTACATGCTTGAGGCATATGATAATGAACCTAACCTACCTTGCAATATGTTTGCAAATTCTAACTTCTCTTCTACAATGCCAATGTTCTGACAAGTGAACTTAATTCACTGGCAAATCTTTTTCTTTTCTTCTGCTATATGAGCTTTTTGAAGATGAAACTAACCCTCTTTGGAATTATAATCTCTTTATTATAATATGAATGCTTTAAGACCATTATCCCAAACTGAAGATTTTCTTTCTTTCCTTTGCTTATATCAATTTCAAGATAACAAATTTTCTCAGTTTGATACATTGGATGATTTACTTGTTATCTCCTTCTTTACAACTACTTGAGCCAAACCTTTAAGTATCACCTTTGGTCGAGTAATTCCTATAGGCTCAGTATTTTAAATATTTTTATTGTTTTGTCTGTAGGTCCACCCAAGTGAAGTGTAATGTGCTGTTCTTGCATGTTGCCAAAGCAACAGGAATCAGTCCCCAGCAGCAGCAGCAGCAGCAGCAGTGGCAGGTGAGTGGGGGGATTTTCACTGAGTGCATACCACTGATGAGTGATTTGTCAGCACTTAAAGATGCGAGTCTTTTATTGACGCCATACACTGATAAGTGCAATGCAGTTGTCGAGATTTTTTGCATTACATTGGCTGCAGTTTTGGTTAACATTTCTAAGAATTGAATCTCCAGAAAATGGAGAAGAATTTTTGAATGGCATTATCTGACATGAGTGTAGGAATTTTTTCCTTTGGGAAAAAAAAGAAAAAAGATAGAAGAAAAAGAAGGAATAGAAGAATTGATAATTGGAAGAAAAATTGAAGAATGCAAAGAATAAAGGAAAAGTTAAAGAAATGTAAATAATGGAGAATGAATAAAAAAAAATTTTAAAATTAAAGAAAAATAGAAGAAATAGAATAAGAAAAAATAGAATAAATAATAGGAAGAAGAAGAAGAACAACAACAATAAAAAAGAAAGAAACATAATAAAAAGAAAATAGAAAGAAGAAAAATTAATGAAACAAATAAAAAACAAATGGGAGAAGAAAAAGAAAAAATAATAGGAAGTCAATAATGTAAGAAGAAATAAAAGAATTAGAAAAAGCAATTTGAGAAATGAAAAATAAAAAAAGACAGAAAAAATGAAGAGAACAAAAGAATTGTAGCTGAAGAAATAAATGAATAAAAAGAAAAGAAAAGTGAAAAGAAGAAAAGAGATAAATGTAAACAAAAGAAGATGAAACAAAAGAATAGCATATAGAAAATGAGATATGAAAAAGAATTAAATGGCAAAATAAATGTAAGAATGAAATGTATGAAAATGAAAGAGGGTGATGGTAAGAATGAAAAGAAAGAGAAAATGAATTAAAAATATAAAAGATAGAAATGAAAAAAATGAAGGGAAAAAAGAATGAAACATCTAGATTTTATTTATAGAAAAACAGGAGTAGAAGAAATTCAAAATTAAGAAGGGGTTAAAAAAGAAAAAAATTAAAAATGGCTAAAAAAGAGAACAGATAAATAAAAATAGACATAAAAAAATTGAAATAAAAAAGCTAGAATGAAAGAAAATAAAAAATAAAATTCAATGAAAAAATGAAAACAATAAGAATAAAAAAGAAAAATGAATAAAAAAGAATAAAATAGAAAAGAATGAAGTGAATTAAAAAGAAAGAAGTTAAGAATAAATTGAAGAATGAGAATGTTATAAAAAAAGGATGAAGTAAATGAGAATGAAATAAAGAAAAAAAGGAAGAACAGAAAAAAGACAAAATAAATGAATGAATAAGACTATTATAGAAATTAATAAAATCAAAATAAATAAAAGTGAAGTGATGTACAGAATGAGTTTAAACAAGACCAAGGAAAATAAACAAATGAAGATGAATGTAATAGGAATGAATTAGATGAGAATGAATCAGAATGAAAGAAAAAAGGAAAGGTAGAAAAAAAAAACAGAGTGAAAAATAAATGGAAGAGATAATTATAGGAATGAATAACAGTAAAGTGAATCAAAATGAAACAAAGGAAAAAGGTTAAATAAAACAGAAGTGAAAATAAATATATGATAATACAGAAAGTTTTATAGAAATGAATAAGAAGTACAAAGAACAATGAAGGAAAATAAATGAAATAGAATGATATGAGAATGAATAAAATCAAAATGAATCAGAATTAAATGAAGAAGGAATAGAAAGAAAAATGAAGGAAAAATAAATAAATGAAAGAGAATATGAGAATTAATAAGATCAAAATGAATTAGAATGAAATGAAGAAGAGCAGGAGTACAAAGAAAAATGAAGGAAAAATAAGTGAATAAAGGAGAATAATATGAAAAGGAATAAGATTAAAAAATGCAATGAAGAGGTAGAGAATGAAATTTAACAAGAGGGGAGCAAATAGAAATGAATGAAGAATTATTTGAATGGAGATGATCAAAATGAAACAGAGTTGAATGAAGAAAAAAAGAAATTTAAAGAAGTCAGAGGGAAAAATGAAGGAAAGCAAATGCTCTCAGTATGAATATGATTCAAATGGTTCAGTATGAAATGAAACAAAAATACAAAAGTGTGAATGAAAAATAAATGAATGAGATAAAATGTTATTGAAAAGAATAATTGAGAATGAATGAATAAATGTGAATGAAAGGAGGAAGACTGAATTAAATAAAAGGAATTAAGAATTTTCAAAACTGAATGAAATAACAATAAATGATGATAAACAATATAAATTTTTTTGTGAAAAAATCAAAACCAAAACAATAAACTGATGAAAATATTAATGAGAATTGTTCAGAATTAAATGTATGAAGCAAAAAGAAAGATGAGACATAAATAGAAAAACTTTTTAAAAATAGGAAAAGCAGAAACAAATAATTCATTGTATAATTTTTGAATTAACTGTAGGAAATTATAAAAAGGAAAAAGCAAGTACAAAATGTGGCTGTAAAATCATTTTTAGCTACATCTCATCTTTTACTCTAAAGTTGATAGGTCATCTGCAATTCCCTCGTGACCCAATACATTTAGCAAATTAAAAAAGAAAAAAATTACAATTGTATTAAAAGTCACAATGATGACATTACAAGAATCATTTTGAAACTCAAAATGACTACTTCTTAACTTGAAGAATTACACAGAAAAATAAATTAAACAAAAAACAAAGCATTTTCAAAGGTTAGCATCATCAAGTAACAATACCTCCAAGGGGGTAAAACTACTAGGAAGCATGCCAGCAGGATCTACAATCATCTGCTTTGGCTCCAATGGAAATGTACTGTCAAGAAGACAGATCTTCAGTGCCAGCTAATTAACTAACTCTTAAAAAATACCAACTGAGAAAATGCAAGAAGTATTAAGAGAACATTTCTCAGCTTATCAACTATTGTCTGTTCCAAGTTAAAGTGAGGATTGAACTCACTACTCAATAGAAATGGTCCACCATACTAGCTTGATTATTATTTATCTTATATATTTATAAGTTTACCATTTATCCCTACTTTGAATATTGCTAACATATCAGGTCTGGTGCTCCTGCTAGATATTTAGAGATTCTTGATAAAATATAAGGGGGAATCTGCAATGTTATTGGTTTTGACCTGACATCCCAGATTCAGTTACTTTCCTACCACCATAATGTAGCTTCCCTGTGCCTTTTCTATAAATACTTTCATGGCAATTGTTTTGATGAACTTTCCTCTATGATGCCTAAACTTTATGAATTTAAACACAGTACATGATTGGCAACAAGTTCTCATCATCTTACAGTTGAAATGGCTAGATGTAACCGTAAATTCTATGCTAACAGCTTTTTCTTACACTTCTCACCCATGGAACTTTTTTTCAAGCTTCTTATTTCCCAGTCAACTTTGATCTTCAAAAATTTAAATCCAATTGTCAATTGTTATCATCTTAATTCCTCTAGTTTTATTGTTCTCTATCCTTAATACTTAATGTGTCATAGTGACTATATTGCCTTGCTTGAGGTGAAATGATTAAAAAAAGAAAAAAAAATTACCCCCATGCTAAGATGCACTATAGATTGGTACATGATTGATTGGTTGGTTGATTTTATGACATGTTGGGTTATTTAATACTGAATTTAATATTGAATTTATTGAACCTCTTTTCCCTTGTAGCTCTAAGCAATGATTGATTCTTTTCTCATCTCTTTGTCTCCAATCTGTCATCCATTTACACAGACTCATTAGGTAAATTACTCACTGTTTCTCTTTGCCCTTCCTACCTACATGTCCTGTGAGTATTAAATTTTTCAAGCACTCTTTCCTTATTATGCATCACAGAAACTTCAACTATCTCTTTCTAATTTTAAGCATAGCCTATTTTCTTGTGTATAATATGACTTGAGTATAATACAATCCATGTTTCTGAAACTAAAAATAGATGATAATACAACCTTGTAGTACAGCCATCCTGATGCAAGTTTTTTTTTAAGTTGTACCATATAATCCACTAAAATCTCAATGTCATATATATATATATATATATATGTATATATATATATATATATTTCACTAAAATATTTAATTTTTCATGATATTAAAGAATAGAAATGCTTGCCATTGTGTGTTTCTTCTCCTCATTTCTGTTTCAAAACTTATTTTTGAATTCTCAGGGAAAGGTGCTAACTAGACATACCCAGTAATACATTTTAATATGTTGATTAATCTATCATACTTTTATGTTTGATATGATTTTATTATGTTTCTAGATATTGATAAACTATTAAAATAAGTAAAAAAATTGTTGTTCATTCAGAATGAAGAGAGAAAATTTTATAAAAAACAAGAAAATCAAAATATAAACAAACTTTATCTTGTGAGCAAAAACAAGGGCATTTACAACTTTGCTGCTTCAAATAAGAGGCTATTTAAAATGAGTAAAAATTTCTGAAAACATGTACTTCAGTATAATACAATTCGCCTTTTTTGCCTTTAATTTTCACTCAAAACTTCTCACATCATGCACAAGAAAATACAATGAGTGTCATCCATTCTCATTTTCCTTAAAACTTCCTTGTTGCTCACATGTTCAGACCATGGTATTATCAGTATCTCTCTGCAGAACCCCATCTCTATCACTTCAAATCTCTTCTTCATCTCCAGTTTGTATCCCTTTCCTGTAAATTCCTTTGAGAAACTCTTTTTCATTGATGTTACTGAGAAAAGAGTTCATGATTGAGCATACAATCTTCATTTAAATATCTTATCAGTGCAGACAGTAGCAGTAAAATTAATGCAGCATTTATTATTGACCTTAACAGATGCTGATCAGTTTAGACCACTTCTTCATATGTGAATTTTTATACAGTGGTCACTATGGCATTGTGAATTTCACTCAGCTGATCTGTTCGATGTTTGATCCCCACAGCTGACCATTGAATGGATCACTTCAATCCTATCCTTGCCTAGTCCCATGTTGTGTTTGATTTAGATCATAAGGCTGGTGAGGATCAATTGTCACCAGGAATTGTTGTATTGGTCTGGTCCAGACAAAATGAAGCCACAAGTCACAGGATAAATTGTAATAAAGAAAATGTTTTATATAACGTTTCTTGTACAGAGCTGGTAGTACAATATCAGTTCTTCAGGTAGGAATATATGTTTTTCATGAAAGAATATATTTGTCATGCAAAGTTATTTGACCCTTCTCTTTTGAATATTTCCTGACACTTTGTTCATTGTGACTAAGTCTAGACAAGGCTTCTGGAACACAGCTCAAAGTTGGAGGTCTTTTTCAGTGGCAGGAAGTCATGTGTGTTTGGTAAAGCGGTCATCCCTTGCCCAGTGTCTGGTGGCTTCTCTCTTTGATCATCTTGATTCTCTGTTTATATGGATATCTGTCCAAAACCGGCATGGGGCTTTATGTGGGGTGAGATTTCAACCATTCCTTTAATCTCCACAGAGAGTTCTTTGTTTAACTCAAGGAAATTAACTGCATGCCCAGTTTTGGAGAGGCCCTCCTCCAAGCAGTAGTGGTAGGAGAATATCAATCCACCCTAACTCCTTCCTTCTCATATTTGTACCTCATACTAATATTGTCCAAAGGGTGTAGGCAATTCCTCCACCTCCCCTGAGATTCCACTTAGGCCCTTCACTTCTATGGTCACCTGACCAATCCAATCTCTAGAATGAATGGGCAAGCAGGTGTGACTTAGCTCCAATTATTAATTTTAATTAATGTTCAAAACTTTCATCAATGGAATTCCTCAACCCCTTCTGCTTTTTCAATTGGGCATTTATCAGCTGCTCCTTTGACAGCCTCTTCTTGTGGTACTTGGGTAGAAGATGTCTGAGTGGAACATCCTTCTTATCAATGCAATATTTAAGAAGGGTGATTCAACACTGTGGACATAGCAAAATGAGTTTTGCCTGTGAAGGTCTGAGCCCTATGGCACTAAAGAATGGAGCTCATTTGAATACTAGCCATGGAAGATATGGATGATACCCAATGGAGAGTGATTATTAAAATACTATTGACACCAATGGGCATTGGCTCCAAGGAAGATGTCATTGTTTCCAATCTCTCTGTATGGTTATTTTATGAATAGATTATTATAGTTACAAGATTTATTTTATGAATAGATTATTATAGTTATTATTAGTAATGATGTGTAGGTAATGTAGCCAAATTATGGTGAATAAAGTCTTACTGGAGTTTCCTAGAGTTCTTCTGGAAACTGAAATGATCTTGACATGAGATATGCACATGCATAAACAAGAAAACTGATATAGATTAAATTCCATGTGTGTTTATTCAGGATTCCATGCTAAATGTGTATTGTGAATCAGAAATCCAGTCCTAAGGGATATCATCTGAGAGTGGGTTCAAGGGAGATAATTATGTAAACAAATATGTATAACGGGTAGCAAAATGGTTATCCAGACAGAAAGTGAAATAGGTGAGCAAAGTTCAAATTCTGTCCTTGTCTGTTGTGTTCACTAAAACCCTTGAAAAAAGACATGAATTCATTTTTCTCCCCCGTCAGGCTATAGACTAAACATCAGGATAATTTTTGGCTCTCTTGCCTTAAGCAGCAGTTCATCTAGGAAAAAGACTAGTATGAATTCCAAACCATGTAGAAGGCAAATGGAAACCATTTTACTACCTTTCCCAAGAAAGCATGGCAATTTACATGGGACAAAGAAAGGAAATCTGTGAAGAGCCATTATTCCCTATACTTTGAAAAGACATGGTTTTAAAAATTAGAAATGTATAAAAAAAAAAACAGAGTATATATAGAATTCAATACAATGTGTGGTTTTAAACCATCTATTTGGAGTCTTGAAACATCTTCTCTGTAGATAAGATAGAATTATTGTATTTATAAAGGCATTCACACTGACCAATATCAAAAACTTAAATATGAGACTAGATGCATAAAGTAGGAATAGGAACAGACTTTTTTGTGTTGAATATTATTTTGCAGAGAGTTGAACTGATAGCAGATAGCACCTGCATAAAAAAGGAAGAAAAAAGATGAATATTGCTGAATGTATAAAACAATCTGTAATATTCAACAGAGCAGGTGACTTGATTATAAAACTGAAGTTTCTTATTGTGTTGCATTCCCTTAAAGTGTTGTCATTTTATAATTCATTACTTTGTTCAGTCCATACAAAAAGCAAGAAAGTCTTTCAGTGACAAGAGAATTTAAAAAAAAATTAATTACATACACAAACTGGAACTTCTAGAAAGGTTCAACAGAACAAATATAGAAAAAATGATTCTTACCAAAAAACTATATAGAAAGAAATGAGGAAAAGTCTTCTATTTGAAAAGCAAACTATGAAATATTTTGTAATAATTATTCTATAAGCCTATATCAGAAGTGTCTTGATGTCTGACTGATATTGAGAAATAAGAATATTGTCAATATTTCAATCAAGTCTTTCCATCTTCTCTAAGATTAGAATGAGGACAAGAAGTCTGATTGATTAAGGGACAAAATCATTAACAATATCTTCATCAAATCTTAGCATCTTCTACAAGACTAGGATGATGACGAGAAGTCTGACTGATTAAGGAACAAAATTATTGTTAATATTTTCATTAAGTCATAGCCTTTTTCTTATTCTATAAGCCCAGAATAGAAATGATTTGAAGTCTGATTGACAGACATATTACAATATTATTCATCCAGTTATAGAATTTTTATGAGCCTACAACTGAAGTGTTTTGAAATCATTATTAAAATTTCTATGAAGGCATAGTCTTTAAGCTTCATATCT